GCCCGACTGCCCGAGCCCGAGCCCCGGCCCGGGTGAGCGCTGGGGGCGGGGGGCGCACCTGCGGACGAAGGCGGGGCGCGAACCGGGGAGGGGGGGCCGAGACGGTGAGGGACGCTGGGGGGCTACTCACTCCCTTCCCTTCACTTCCCTTCTGCCCCCATCGGCTCCCCTCACTTCCCACTGCTCCTCCCCCATAGTTCCCCTCACCACCCGGGTCTCCTGACGGTCCCTGCACCCCAGCCCTCTCCCCTGCACCCCTGTCCGCAGCGCCCCCTCGTGCTCCCCAGAGGTTATAGGCTTGTCCTCTTGCTCCCCTCTGCGCCCCGAGCCTCTCCGCGATGGGCGACCCCTCGGGGCACTTTCTGTGGCACAGCTCGGTGTGGGGGGAGTGGGAGGGTCTGTGAGTCATGTTGGGGGTAGCTGTAGAGACTCCCCAGGTGAGGGGGGCTCTACCTCCCATCAGCACCCCCCTGGGTGGGGCGCTGTGGAGACCCCCACTGGCTCTTCCTGCTTCCTCCCCGGCAGGCTGGGCTCTGTCCTCCGCTTGAGCAAAGGGCCCTGGCTGGAGTCCCAGGGCCTGACCTTGGACAGGTTGATCCTCCAGTGTTCCACAGACGGATGGCCCCAGGGCAAGGCTGGGTGTAGTGGGCCTCTGGCCTGCCAGACCCCCAGGGCAGGGCCCAGCCTTCCATCCCCCATCCCAGCCTCCCTCTGTCGGTGGGTGGGGTGGGTGGGTCCATGCACCAGCTGCACCGTTCTCTGTGAAATCGGGGTGCTGACGGCTGTTCCTGGCAGGGTTGTGGGGTGCTACATGAGCATGGGGTGTACAGAGGAGGGACTTCCAGCTAATGAAATGTGGCCATCCTGCCTGTGCCCCCGGGTGTCCAGAGGACACTTGGACACTGTCCAGGTGGCTCCTGGCCCCAGCATGGCAGGAAAAGGGCAGGGTCAGCCGAGGTGGCTCCTTCTGAAGTAGGGATGCAGGTCCTTGTAGCCTGTGACCCTTGCCAGCAGAACCAGGGACACTTGTAGGCAGTGTGGGGAGGCCTGGGAACGCTGGTGAGAATGCCCCTTTTGGCGTCCCTTCCTGTGGGTGAGGGGTCAGCCTGGCTTTCCTGTGCATGAAGGTGGCACGCGGGCCAGTCTCCTCTCACTGGATGGTCAGGGGCAGGCTGCCAGCCAGTGTTCTGCACAGGTAAACTGAGGAAGCAGAGCCCAGCATCTCCTCGTCCACTCAGTGGCAGCCTGGTTGTGGTCCCTGGAGGAGCTTGGGGCACCTGTCCAGGCCCAGCCTCCTGCCTGTGGCCCCTCCCTTGGGCAGCTGGTCAGCTTGCTCCCAGTCTTCAGCTGGACTCGTTTCCTCCTGCCCGCTTTCCCTCTGTCTGGAGCCGCCAAGCTCAGGAGCAGTGCAGGAACTCAGACTGCAGGCAGCCGAGCCGGCTGAGCCCCTTGGCAGGCGTGAGGCAAGCTATGCCCTCCAAGGGCGGCTTGGTGCCTCGGGCCTACCTCCCTCTTTCTGAGAGGTTCTGCCTTCTCAGCCTCGGTCTCCTCGGCTCCCACCCAGGATCGGCTGGGGTCCACACCATGTGGAGGTCCACACTGTGTGGGGGTCCACACTGCAGCACAGAGGTTCATGTCGAGCATTCGGGGGCCAGTTTCCAAACCCGCCTGACCCGGGAAATCCCCTGGCGGCACTGAACTAGATTCTTGACTCTGTTGTGGATCCACCAAACCCTCCAGGAGCCTGGGCGGCTGGGCTCTGGGAGGCCTTTCTCAGGGATGTTGGGGATGAAGCAGGTTTGGGGAACCCCAGCCCACGGGTCCTCAGAAGCCCTGGGGCCACCTGCAGCCTGCGGGGTGAGGCCAGGACACTCCTTCTCACATGGCATGGGGAGGATGGGAGAGGCGGAGAGACAGGCCCCCCTGTGCCTGCTCACCGTGGGTGACCAGAGCTTACCGAGGCCACCCTCGGGGGTGCCTGGCCTGGTGGCAGTGGTGACAAGGCCCCTCCAGGGCCTGGAGCTGGAAGATGCTGGAGCGCCTGTTCGCGGAGCCCTCCCTGTTCTCTGGGCAGGCGGGGGTCTCCATGGAAGGCTGTGGTCACACAGGGTGGGTTCTTGAGCCCTTGTCACGGGGCTTCAAGGGTGCGGCAGCCCAGGCAGCTGCTGGCTGAGCCCTAACCTTGAGCTGTCCCTGCCGTGGGGTCCTGGCTCTGCCTGGCGGGCTGGCAGGCTGCTCCGCGTGTCTGCCTGGGCCTGCCTCCGCAGCGCCCCCTTTCCTCCCAAAGGAGCGAATGGCGGGGAGTGGGGGCAGGAAGGGCAAGGCCAAGATGAATGTTGATTTGTGTATCTTAGCTTCCAGCTAACGACTCTGGGATGGGCCCTTCCTGCCCCGCTTCCCTGCTGGCCAGGGGCGTCAGTGGCCTGCTCTCTGGATGACCGGAGGTTTGTCTTTACTGGAGGCTGGGGAGCTGGGTTCCCTTTCACCCACCCTGGGCTACCATGCCCTCAGTGTTTCTGGTGTGGAACACTTGGGAGAGGCATTTTGTTTTGAAGTGAGGTTTGTGAAAAAGGACAGGCTCCTGCTGTTTGTTTACTCCCTGATACACTGTAAGAGTATAACCTGCCTTCAGCGTTAGGCAGACCTGCTTTACAGGGAGGGGTACGTGAGGAAGACAGGGCCGGCGGGCGCCGGGTAGGGATGGTTTTGACTTCAGAGCCCAGTTAGCTGACCTGGGTTAGCCTCGCTCTCCCAGCACTGTGGTCAGGGGAGTTGTCCCCCAGACGGTAGGGTGGCGCCTGGGGGCCTTGGGCAGCCGTATGTGAGACCACTCAAGGATGGGGGGAGGGCCGGCCTGTCCCCTCTGCCCTCAGGTACTTGTGACTGTGAAGGTTCCGCCCGCGGGCCCAGGCCCACCGCCGTCTGGAGGACCCATGCCCCCTGGAGAGTTTGATGGGCGACAGTCACTGTCAGCTGGACCGGGCTGTCCCTGGTCCCCCACCCGCTGCTCCGCCATGACCCCTTGTTCCTCACATGGAACTTTCCACGAGCTTCCTTTCAGCCCCTCTTGACGGCCTGTTCTCCTGACTCGGTTCCTCTTTTCAGATGCAGCTCATTCCTGCCCTGTGATTTGGCCCCTGTGGTTCCGCACGTGTTGGTAACAGACATTCCTGGGGCGTGTCACTTTGTCCCTGGCGGGTGTGCAGGAGCAGGCTGGGCGGGAGGCCCCAGCTCGAGCAGGCAGGCGGCTGTGGGGACCTTGGGGGCCTGCTCACGGCCCACCTTGACTTGGGCCGCAGGCCCCGAGTGAGCTTCCTGTGGGTGTGGGGGCTCAGGCAGGGATGTCACTGCTTGTGGGGCTCATCTCGGGGACACTGTGCTGGGACCCGGGTCCCAGGGAGCAGTGTCATTAAGAACTGAGCCAAGTGCAGCGTGGTCTAGTTTTTTCCACTGGGTGAGGACGTGGGGAGGACAGCTCCGATCATGAGGTTTTGGGAGGGAGTGGACATGTCACACCACTGAGATGGAAAAGACCCTCGGGCTCCTGGCTGTTCCCACTTGACCTGCCCTTGGCAGAGGCTCAGGGTGTGGAGGTCGATTAGGAAGGTCTCGCGCTGGGGGGTGGGTCGCAAGAAACACTCGTGATGCGCCAAGTTCACATTCCAAGGCAGCGGAGAGCAGGCGTGCGGCCATCGTGAGCCGGGACCCCAGGTCTCGTCCAGCTTCTCCTGCACCCCTCAGCGTCCTTGCTGTCCTCAGGGGAGCTCCTCTGGTCACACATCGCGTGATGAGGAGTTGAGATGGTCTTGCTGAGCCTGTGTGTGAATACATGTTCGTGTGCGGGTGTGCAGGTGTGCAGGTGTGCATGCTCACATGCCTGTGTGTGTACGTGCTTGTGAGTGCGTGTATGTGTGTGTTTGAGCATGGGCTTGTGAGGACGAGTGTGTGCACATATGAACCCATACACGTGCACACATACATCTGTATGTGAGTGAGTGCACATTATGAATACGTGTGTGTGCACACATACATGCATTGGGGGATTCAGAGGGAGCTTGCCTGGTCACACGGCATTGTGGTATGGGGGCGCCCCCTCCTCACGAGGCAGGTTCCTGCTCCCCCTGCGGCCATGGAGGACGTGATGGGCATATCACTGCCCTGTGTCTGAAATTTCTCTCCCAGCCCTTGGTCAGGGTGAGGAGCCAGTCCTCCTGAACCTGGCCCCATGGTCTCTTCTGGAAGGCAGGTGGGACAGGAGGTGCCTCTGTGGGAAGGCTGTGAGCTGACCCAGGCAGTGGTGGTCATGCAGCCCTGGGGCTTTGGCGGGGCAGCTGCGGGGCCCCCAAAGGTCTGGCCCAGAGAGCAGTGGCCCCCGAAGGCCAGGCAGATGCCGCCACCGTTCATCCTACGGCGGTTTATGGGGGCGTCTGTGTGCCCCGTTGTGTCCTGGTGCATCTGTGCCCCGAGCAGTCTCCGCCCTCACCTAGTGGGATGCTGTATGGCAAGAGAGGGCCTGGGGGCTGTGGGGAAGAGGCGTGGGATGAGGGAGCTTGGTGTCGGGGTGGCCTCAATGGGAAGGACACTTGAGCGGGACTTGGACGCTGGGGGACAGCGTCCAGGCAGAAAGCGGCCACGCAGGGGTCTGGGGCGGGGGGCATTTCGGGTGGTCTCAGGGTTGGTAAGGCGGGTCAGAGGGCAGCCTGTGGGGGGAGGGGGCCCCAGTCCCTGTGAGAGTCTGTGGAGGGCCTGGTGCCTGGGCTGAGAACAGATGAAGTGCGGTCTCAGGAAGGAGAGACTGACTCCTGGAGGCCTGGTCTACCCCCATCCTGGCCGGATAGACCGGTCCACATGGAGACCCTGGGCATCAGGGTCCTGTCTGCTCTGACCCCCGGCCTCTCAGGCTTAGCCTCCCAGGTTGGGTGGGGGTCCTCCATGCTCTGGAAGACAGGACTGTGGCCTGGGGGGTGCCCCCCCTCCGTCTGTGCCCTGCATGTGGCCAGCCTCAGGAGTGTGAATGAGGATGGGGGTGGAG